AGCTACTTTGTAAACATGCAAACCAACTGCTATACCGGCTATATTTGTGTCTGCTCTAATCTGTCTCAGAAAGGGTTCTAATGTCATAATAAAGATAATGGGAGACAAGGGGCAACCATTCCATTCACAATCGAGAAGGCATTGGACAATAACCCATTGACTTTCACTGAGGCCGATGGGTTGGAGTATAAGGAGCCAATGAAGGTCTTCATTCTAGACCCCAACCCTGCATTTGATAGCACTGCCGCCATATACTCCCAAGATACTCTATCAAATGCTTTCTCTGCGTCCATTGAGAGAAAGAACCCAGGGGAGTTAGAAGTCAGCCAATGGTGTATGTCCAAAGCCTTAATCATATTGTCACGTCCTTCTCTGCCCGGGGTTAAACTCACCTGATCCAAAGACACCCACGACTTAAGGTGAGGCAGTAAACGATTAGATCTTTTGTGAACAGTTTTACATCCACGTTTAGCAGGGAAATTGGGTGGTAGTTTTGGACTCGTGTTGGATCTCTTCCTGGTTTTAGTATGACAGTAATGCAAGTTTCCACAAGTTGAGTCGGGGGGTGGCAAATCCTCCTCCAATGAGTTGAATGCCCGAAAAAAGTGGGGAAGAAGCAAATCTTGAAAGGTCTTATATTATAAGGTGGGCAGGCTGTCCGGGCATGGACTTTTCCCCAGCTTTATGTTTCTAAGTGCCATAAGCACCTCCGCAGTCGAGATCAGCTTGTCAAGGGATTTCGCTATAGTAGTGGTTAAAGGAGGAATGCCATACTGGCGGAGGAACGTCTGTATTGCATCCGAGCGTTCAGAGGCAGATCTCTGTGGGTCTCCTGGCAATAATAAATTGTACAGTTTTTCGTAGTATTGAAGAAACTTAGATGCAATGGCCTCTGTAGAAGGGTGAGACTTGCCCGACTGATCCTTATAGGAGTGAACGATCATGTCATGTTTGGTTTTCTGAAACGTCCTGGCCAAATAATGGCCGTTTTTATTGGCGTGCTCATAAAATAGTTTCAAGGGAAGAGTAAATTTCCTGTGTATATGACTACCCAATTTCTTCAATAGGAACTGTCGGACTTGGGACAAGGCTTCCAAGGCGTGCACAGCCTGTTTTCGTTTATGCTTAATTTCCAGAGTACTAATTTGAGCTAAAAGCCTATCTACTGAGGTCTGCCTAGCTTTCTTCATTTTCGTGGAAAGGGCAATAAAATGTCCCCACATGACACATTTATGTGCTAGCCACTGAGTTATTGGGAGGTGTCAGGGGTGTCGTTTAGAGTGAAAAAATCTCGCAAGCTTTCCTGAAATAGGGTCAAGAGAGATGGATCACCCAGCAAGAAAGGATTCAAGCGCCAAAATTTGGATCTCTTCTCCCGCTCAGGAAATTGTAGGGTCATTGTGATTGGATGATGGTCAGAGGCATAAAGCGGTTCGATAGTAACATTAGTCAGGTAGGATAGGTCTCCTTGAGATAGAAAGAGGTAATCGATATGCGAATATTTCGCATGTATATGAGAATAGTACATATAATCCTTACAAGAGGGGTTATGAGTCCTCCATGTGTCGTGTAGAGACAAAGGGGCCAATTGAAGTTTAACTTGTTTAAGAGCTCTATATTGGGCTGTAGAGGTACCAGAAGACGAGTCTAAAGAGGGTCCAGAGACACATTCAGGTCACCTCCCAAAATCAAGATTCCCAAAGCGAATGAGATTAACGCATCCACAACCTTACGAATAAAGGGCACTTGTTTCGTATTGGGGGTGTAAATGTTCGCTAATATAATTGGTCGATTATACACAGAGCCTTTGACAAAAATATATCGGCCCTCAGGATCCACCAGTTATTCAGAAAAGACAAAGGGCAAAGACTTGCCAAGAAGGATCGCCACCCCAATCGATTTCGATTCAGTGGCTGAAGCGTGGTACATATGAGGATACTTGTAATTTGCAAGTCTAGACATCGCATAGTTTTTGAAATATGTCTCCTGGAAAAAGGCTATATGGGCTTTATGTTTAGAGACTTCAGACAAAATCATAGATCGTTTCTCAGGAACGTTCAAGCCCCTGACATTGAAAGAGATTTTAAAAAGCACATTCCTCAACGATGCAATTTTGTTCGCTAAAACCCTCAGCGGAGGAAGGCAGGAGGAGGGGAGAGAGAGAGAGAAAAAAAAAAAAAAAAAATTTGAGGAGGGGGGGAGAATAAGAATGAGTAAAGACAAAAGTAGAAATCAGAAATAGAGAAACACTAACTCTAATGCAAGAAACAGGAAGCAAAAGAGAAGAATGGAGCCAAATTCAGGTTACACCTGGTTATAAAAAATATCGGGAGCAATTCCCCCAGGCTTCACTTAAATGACCAAATAAGGGTCAGCCAGGCAAAAGCCAAGCTGTGTGGGGTGAAGTAAACTAGGGGCACGAGATAAGCTTAACCCCGTCCGCCGGAGAGCAACAGGGTAATGGAAATCAAATTGTAACCGGGCTAAACAACCAAGTTAAATATTTTCTATCTAAAAGCCAGGCAATATAAATTAACTGCTGGACAGTTAGGTGAGACCTGTTGTCAGGAATGGACTGGCCAGCAATAGTGGGACTCACCTGCCTTATGAGCTGCAGTACCAGGGCTGGCCAGCGGGTGCTCCCAGCAATCAGAGACTCAACCTTGCAGCCAGTCAAACACCTGGAACTAATTATACTGGTGTATTTAAGGGATGGCTAGACCTGCAGACTCTGCCTTGGTGTGTGCTTTTCCTGGGCCCTGTATCTTGTAAACCTGCGTTCCTGTTCCTGTTCCTGTCTTGTTGCTGACCCTGCTTGATTCTGACCTCTGCTGACTTCTCCTGTTCTGATCCCTGGCTTGTGACCCTGACCATCCCTCTGCCTGACCCTCTGTACCACGCTGCCCGCTACCTGCTGAATCTGGCCTGTGACCCCGACCATTCTCCGCTTGCTCCCCCTGTACCTACCTGCCCGATTGATATTGACCCGGCCTGCCTGACGACGCTTGCATTGTATGCACTGTTATCTGTGGGTGGTTGGTTTGGTTTGTTTGCACTGTGTTATGTTTTAGTATTGCACTGCGTTTATGTTAGTATTGTTAGTGTTAATAAATTATATTGTTTATAACATATCTGAAGTCTGCGTTTCCCTGCGTCAGTCACATACCTCTGGTCACACCCGGGAGCCTTGACATTACACCAAGGCCAGTCCTGACCAGAAGTGGCTGCACAGGGAAGCCATCTTGGCTTGTTGCTGGGAAGGATGGATCTTGATGAGGTTGTGTATTTATATCTGCTAATGTTTGATGACAGAGAGTATGCTTATCAAACTCTGAAGGAGTATCCCCGGGATCAACTACTAGAATGTATATGGCTCGCTCATGTTCTAGTAGATCAGGGCACACAGAATTCTCTGAGGTGCAGCCATTGATTCAGATTTGTGCGGAGTTGGTTTCATCTGGTACCCCCGAATGCAGGGATGAATTTTTGCCGCCATTTAGTGCTGACCAGGTAGAGTCCCTGGTATGGTTATTAGAGGATGATGTGGATTGCTTCTTGGAGCATTATGCTGCATGTTCACCACAGATACTAAGAGATTGTATAAACGCAGTGCAGTCTTTGGTCAGACAGGCTTTGTGTAAGCTCAGCTTTGTTCAACCCATACTGCAGACATGGACAGATTTGTTGCACCCAGCCTCAGTCAGCTTACAAAAAAAACCCAGTCCTGCTTCTAATCTATTTCCTCAAAGCTCTATTCCTGCATTCCCAACAGCTCCTCCTGCCCTGCTATCTACCGCATGTCAGTACCCTGTTCCCACTCGCTGCACCTATCCTGCCTTTAACCCTGTAAAAAAGCCCTCCGTAGCAACTGCTCCCTCCCCTGTTCCATCCTCCAGCTCTTCTCTGTCTCTCAGCTGCTCCATTCGTTTGCAGACCTGCGTTTACTTGCAGTGCTCCAGTAATTAAAACCAGAAAAAAGCGAAAACTCTTTCCAACCAGTACCATCCTGCCAGTATCCAAACCGGTCAGCCTGCCGTCTGAGAACCTGCCTTCCGTGGTTCAGCCTGATGACTCTCTTCAGCCTGATGCCTCTCTGATGCTCTACTCAGCCTGATGCCTCTACTCAGCCTGAAGCCTCTACTCAGCCTGAAGCCTCTACTCAGCCTGAAGCCTCTACTCAGCCGGAAGCCTCTACTCAGCCGGATGCCTCTACCCAGCATAATGAACTGATCCAGCCTGATGATCCTATTAGGCCAGTTGACTCGATGCCCGCTGTTGATCCAGATGATCCGGTACCTGATCCGGTGCCCACTGTCGTGCCAATTGACTCAGAGCCCGCTGTCGTACCTGGTGACTCGGTGCCCACTGCCTTGCCAGATGACGCGGTGCCCGCTGGCGAGCCAAATGACCTGATCCCTGGTGACCCGATGCCCGCTGTCGAGCCAGACGATCCAATGCCAGACGACTTGGTACCCACAGTCTTGCCAGACGTCTCGGTGCCCGCAGTCTTGCCAGACGACTCGGTGCCCGCAGTCTTGCCAGACGACTCGGTGCCCGCAGTCTTGCCAGACGACTCGAAGCCCGCTGTTCCGCCAGTTGACTCGATGCCCGCTGTTCCGCCAGTTGACTCGGTGCCCGCAGTCTTGCCAGACGACTCGGTGCCCGCAGTCTTGCCAGACGACTCGAAGCCCGCTGTTCCACCAGTTAGCTCGGTGCCCGCAGTCTTGCCAGTTGACTCGGTGCCCGCAGTCTTGCCAGTTGACTCGGAGCCCACTGTCATGCCTGGTGACTTGGTGCCCGCCGCTCCGCCTGGGGGCCCGAGACCTGTCGCTCCGCCTGGGGGTCCGGCGCCCGCCGCTCCGCCTGGGGGTCCGGCGCCCGCCGCTCCGCCTGGGGGCCTGAGACCTGTCGCTCCGCCTGCCTGGGGTCCGGCGCCCGCCGCTCTGCCTGGGGGCCCGAGACCTGTCGCTCCGCCTGGGGGTCCGGTGCCCGCCGCTCCGCCTGGGGGCCCGAGACCTGTCGCTCCGCCTGGGGGCCCGAGACCTGTCGCTCCGCCTGGGGGCCCGATGCCTGTCGCCGCTCCTAGGGGCCCGATGCCTGTCACCCCGCCTGGGGGCCCGATGCCTGTCGCCCCGCCTGGGGGCCCGATGCCTGTCGCCCCGCCTGGGGGCCCGATGCCTGTCGCCCCTCCTGGGGGCCCGATGCCTGTCGCCCCGCCTGGGGGCCCGATGCCTGTCGCCCCGCCTGGGGGCCCGCCACTCCGCCTGGGGGCCCGCCACCTGGGGGCCCGATGCCTGTCGCCCCCGCCGTGGGGCCCGATGCCTGTTGCCCCGCCTGGGGGCCCGATGCCTGTCGCCCCTCCTGGGGGCCCGGTGCCTGCTGCTCCCGCCTGGTGGCCCGGTGCCTGCTGCTCCACCTGGTGGCCCGCTGCCTGCTGCTTCGCCTGGTAACCCGATGTGCCGATGTGCCTCTGCCCGGAGTCCAGCCCGATGTGCCTCTGCCCGGAGTCCAGCCCGATGTGCCTCTGCCCCCGATGTGCCTCTGCCCGGAGTCCAGCCCGATGTGCCTCTGCCCGGAGTCCAGCCCGATGTGCCTCTGCCCGGAGTCCAGCCCGATGTGCCTCTGCCCGGAGTCCAGCCCGATGTGCCTCTGCCCGGAGTGCCTCTGCCCGGTGTGCCGCTGCCCGGAGTGCCTCTGCCCAGAGTCCAGCCCGATGTGCCTCTGCCCGGAGTCCAGCCCGATGTGCCTCTGCCCGGAGTCCAGCCCGATGTGCCTCTGCCCGGAGTCCAGCCCGATGTGCCTCTGCCCGGAGTCCAGCCCGATGTGCCTCTGCCCGGAGTCCAGATGTGCCTCTGCCCGATGTGCCTCTGCCCGGTGTGCCTCTGCCCAGTGTGCCTCTGCCCAGTGTGCCGCTGCCCGGAGTCCTGCTCGGTGTGCCAGTCTTTGATATCCCGCCAGTTACCAGACCCGGGCGGTGGAACATTTTGCCCAGCTAGGACTGTTTGGAGCGTCCTGAGGCCGCTCCTTGAGGGGGGGGGTACTGTAAGGAATGGACTGGCCAGCAATAGTGGGACTCACCTGCCTTATGAGCTGCAGTACCAGGGCTGGCCAGCGGGTGCTCCCAGCAATCAGAGACTCAACCTTGCAGCCAGTCAAACACCTGGAACTAATTATACTGGTGTATTTAAGGGATGGCTAGACCTGCAGACTCTGCCTTGGTGTGTGCTTTTCCTGGGCCCTGTATCTTGTAAACCTGCGTTCCTGTTCCTGTTCCTGTTCCTGTCTTGTTGCTGACCCTGCTTGATTCTGACCTCTGCTGACTTCTCCTGTTCTGATCCCTGGCTTGTGACCCTGACCATCCCTCTGCCTGACCCTCTGTACCACGCTGCCCGCTACCTGCTGAACCTGGCCTGTGACCCCGACCATTCTCCGCTTGCTCCCCCTGTACCTACCTGCCCGATTGATATTGACCCGGCCTGCCTGACGATGCTTGCTTGTATGTACTGTTATCTGTGGGTGGTTGGTTTGGTTTGTTTGCACTGTGTTATGTTTTAGTATTGCACTGCGTTTATGTTAGTATTGTTAGTGTTAATAAATTATATTGTTTATAACATATCTGAAGTCTGCGTTTCCCTGCGTCAGTCACATACCTCTGGTCACACCCGGGAGCCCTGACACCTGTCTTCTCGTCTCACCCAAAGCTATCATCTAGCAGCTATGATATGAATTCAGAGGCGAGAACAGGGAATATAGGAAAATTAACAAGGTACAATATCCACCCAAAGAGCCTGATGCTCTACTCATGACCTGACACACAGGCATAGCACACCTAGATTACATATGACCAGTCGCTAGAATAAGTAACCTTCTAAATATTAGACAAACAATATTCCCTCAGAGGTCCTCAGAGATCAGTCCAGCCAGCCAGAGGCTGGGGAGGAGGAAGAAAGGGGGAGGGTGGAAGGGGGCGAGAAAAAGGGGTAGGGGGGGGGAATGGGTAAAAGGGGGGAGAAGCCATCCTCTCTCCTCCTCACAATATTTCAGAGAAAGTAAAATGACCATGGCTGCCAATATACAAAATGCAATCAACATAAACAATGAAACGAGGTAGATGTCCAGCTTGTCTTAGTCCAATGTATAACACCCCCCCCCCCCCATCCTGGATGAAAGACGGCCATGTGATAGGCCCTGGAAGTCCTCCATATATCCGATTTGGACCTGAAAGTACTCATAGAAGCCAAGAACTTTAATTGCTCGAGTCATCTTGGTACACTTAGGCTGCATTGATGGGTGTGTGTGTGAACTGTATGTTAGCGAACTTGAGAGCGATCCTCCCTTAGGTGGAAGATGACTGTAAGACAGATATTTCCATACTAAACATGGTGCGACTCAGATACACCGATCAGGCGATTTTGACGGTAAGGAGTCAGAGAATCTTTGCGACAAGGGGTTCGCAGGTCTGACGTCTGGAGAGGTTCTTTCCACAGGTCCAGGATCTGCACCGTGGTACCAGTCCGGAAGGGGCACTGGCGGGATACGCAGCAGCTCAAAGAATTGGGGAAGATCATTTGGAGTGTAGATGCTATACGATCTCCCCTGAAGCGTGGCTGTAAGGCCAAATGGGAAACGCCATTTGTATGGAACATGGTGATCCCATAGGATCTGAAGCAGAGGCCTACGTGCCCGCCTGTTGCATAGTAATCAAGGAGAGGTCCTGAAATATTTTCACTTCTGCCCCGTTGAAAGTAAATTCATCTTGCTCTCTCACATTTTGAGAAATTTCTTCCTTCAGCTGGTAATCCGCAAAGCAACATATAATATCACAAGGTGGGACTCCCTCTCTACCCCTCGGACGAACGGCCTTATGGGCTCGATCTAGAATGACTGGCGAATCTTGAGGTTTTTCAAGCAGGGCGTTGAATAAAGACTGTAACACTGCAGGTATCTGATCATGGTCTACAAATTCGGGGATTCTGAGAATTTCGCCGACCTCTATTATTGAGATCCTCCAGTTTTCTATTCATCTCAATAAAGTGCATATTATAATGACTTGCATGGTGCTGCAGTTCTCTTATGTCAGCATCATGTCTCCCAGCTACCTATTCTACCTCCATCAGTCTATCCAAAAGACCCCTGAGTCCCTCTTTGAGGTCCGTCACAGCCTCAGCCAATGCATTTCTGATGTCTGCTGCTATTGACTGCAGGTCTGACATTTTGGGCACTTGTTTGATTATGGTCAACATCGCCTCAGTGTCCCCCTTAGTGCTAGAGCGTGGTGCTGAGCCACCAGGTGAGTCAGAAGCCGCATCGGAATCCACGCTTGTGGAAGGAGGCATAGGCCCGTGTGTCCATGAGCTGGGTACGAAAGATCTCAAGGAGATTTTTCCCCAGTCGGAAATGCAGGGTGTTCGTGAAAGGCAGGGATCTCCCTACCTTGCCCATCATGCGATCAGAGCTCAGAAAAAGCTACAAAAACTCTCCAGCGGACGCAGAGCTCGTATATTAAGCCGCCATCTTCTTCATGTGCCAGACCACGTCCCCGAAAGCTTATTTTTAAACTCGGCTATCCATGACTATTTCAGTTCCTTTTTACTTTATATTACAACCTACACCCCACCTTCACCTATGCAGCAGGTATCATTTGAAAACAGGACCACCTAAATACCAGCCTTTTGCACTGTGCATTATCTTGTTAACAGCTTGTGTTGTGACCTGAGTATCAAGATAGATTGCTCACACTTGAACTAGTCAGAGGATGGACACCTTCTCCTTTTCTAGCAGAGATGCTGGCCATGTGGACTTTCTGTCTCTAGAAGCAAAGTGCTGCTGAGCTAGTGCTCCTTATTAAAAAACCTAGTGTACTGTAAAAACAATGTATGATGGAAACACCTAGTATTAAATGCTCATTTGTTAAAAACATATGTTTTACAATTATTGAAACATATTACATAAAATGTTATAATCTGGTAAATGTTAGAAACTATTCTCAATAAATCAGATGAAAAGTTACTAAAATAGTTCAATTAAATATTAGTAACATAACAATATACAACTGCTTACCTATTTGTTATGCTCCTAGGACTGAGTTCTGATGTCTTAGAGATTCTGGGACTTGTCAGTGAACTCTGATAAGATTGCTATTATCACCAAAAAAGTTTTAGAAAATATAAAACAAACATTTAGGCTTTTAATGGATACAACTTCAAGGTACAGAACAAAAGATAGATGCAAGCATATAATATCTAATCTATTTTTTTCTGCTATAATTTTGCTAAGATATTTTTGGAATGAATATATTTACCAATAAATGTGATTTATCAGTTTTGCTCTTGATCAGTTGTGGCTCAGGTATTTGTATGTTTAATGCTGTACTGTTCAATGACCTGTGTACATACATTAATTTTGATTATAAAAAGCTGGTAAGTGAGAATGAGCATTTTATAACAATATACAGTGCCTTGAAAAAGTATTCATACCCCTTGAAATTTTCCACATTTTGTCATGTTGCAACCAAAAATGTAAATGTATTTTATTGGAATTTTATGTGATAGACCAACACAAAGTGGCACATAATTGTGAAGTGGAAGAAAAATGATAAATGGTTTTTAAAATTTTGAAACATGTGGCATGCATTTGTATTCAGCCCCCCTCAGTCAATACTTTGTAGAACCACCTTTCACTGCAATTACAGCTGCAGGTCTTTTTGGGGATGTCTCTACCAGCTTTGCACATCTAGAAAGTGAAGTTTTTGCCCATTCTTTGCAAAATAACTCAAGCTCTGTCAGATTTGATGAAGAGCATCTATGAGCAGCAATTTTCAAGTCTTTCAATTGGATTTAGGTCTGGACTTTGACTGGGCCATTCTAACACATGAATATGCTTTGATCTAAACCATTCCATTGTAGCTCTGGCTGGAAGCTGCATTGTCCTGCTGGAAGCTGAACCTCCACTCCAGTCTTAAGTCTTTTGTAGACTCTAACAGGTTTTCTTCTAAGATTGCCCTGTATTTGGCTCCATCCATCTTCCCATTAACTCTGACCAGCTTCCCTGTCCCTACTGAAGAAAAGCATCCCCACAACATAATGCTGCCACCACCATGTTTCACGGTGGAGATGATGTGAGGAGAGTGATGTGCAGTGTTAGTTTTCTGCCATACATAGGATTTTGCTTTTAGGCCACAAAGTTAAATTTTGGTCTCAGCTGACTAGAGCACCTTCTTCCACACGATTGCTGTGTCCCCCACATGGCTTCTCGCACACTGCAAACGGGACTTCTTATAGCTTTCTTTCAACAATGGCTTTCTTCTTGACACTCTTTCATAAAGGACAGATTTGTGGAGTGCACGACTAATAGTTGTCCTGTGGATGGACATATTCTACCACCTGAGCTGTGGATCTCTGCAGCTCCTCCAGAATCACCAAGGGCCTCTTGGCTGCTTCTCTGGTTAATGCTCTC